GCCGACGTCGACGACGAGATTGCCGAGCTGTACCTCGAAGAGCAGACGCCGACCAACGAACAGATCAAGGCTGCCATCCGCCGCGCGACCATTGCCCGCAAGTTCACTCCCGTCATGATGGGCTCTGCGCTGGCCGACAAGGGTATCCAGCCCATGCTCGATGCCGTCTGCGACTACCTGCCCAACCCCGGTCAGATTGAGAACACGGCCCTCGACAAGTCCAAGGGCGAAGAGACGGTTGCGCTGGTCCCCTACAACTCGCTGCCTTTCGTCGGACTTGCGTTCAAGCTTGAGGAGAACAACTACGGTCAACTCACCTACATCCGTGTCTACCAGGGAACGCTGAGCAAGGGCACCTACCTGTACAACTCGCGAACCGACAAGAAGGTCCGCATCCCCCGTATCGTCCGCATGCACTCGAACGAGATGGAGGATGTCAACGAGGTCGGTGCCGGTGAGATTTGCGCCGTGTTCGGCGTTGACTGTGCTTCCGGCGATACCTTTACTGATGGCGGTCTCCCCTACACCATGTCTTCCATGTTCGTCCCCGACGCCGTCATGTCCCTGTCCATCAAGCCGAAGCGCACCGGCGACGCCGACAACTTCAGCAAGGCGATGAACCGATTCCAGCGCGAGGACCCGACCTTCCGCGTCCACGTCGACGCCGAGAGCGAAGAGACCATCATTTCCGGCATGGGAGAGCTGCACCTCGAAGTCTACGTCGAGCGCCTGAAGCGCGAGTACAAGACGGAGTGCGTCACCGGCCAGCCCCGCGTCGCCTACCGCGAGACCATCTCCCGCCGTGCCGACTTCGACTACCTCCTCAAGCGACAGAGCGGCGGCCCCGGCGACTTTGCCCGCGTCGCCGGCTACATCGAGCCCAACGACAAGCCCGAGGAGAACCACTACGAGAGCCAGGTCGTCGGCGGGCACATCCCCGACAAGTTCCTGTCCGCCTGCGCCAAGGGCTTCGAGATTGCCTGCGAAAAGGGCCCCCTGCTGGGCCACCGCGTCATCGGGTCCAAGATGATCATCAACGACGGCCAGACGCACGTCACCGACTCGTCCGACTACGCCTTCAACCTGGCCACGCAGATGGCCTTCCGCAAGGCCTTCCCCGAGGCGGGCGGCCAGGTCCTCGAGCCGCTGATGAAGACGACCATTACCGCGCCCAACGAGTTCCAGGGCAACATCCTCATGCTCATGAACAAGCGCAACGCCACCATCCACGACACCGAGATTGGCAGCGAGGACTTTACGCTCATCTGCGACTGCAGCCTCAACGCCATGTTTGGCTTCAGCTCGCAGCTGCGCGCGGCGACGCAGGGCAAGGGCGAGTTCAGCATGGAGTTTAGCCACTATGCGCCTGCTCCTCCCCACTTGCAGTAAGTTTTTATCCTTTTCGAATTGTTTTTTGACTGTAGCAGACTTGGGTACTGATGCCATCTATAGAAAGGAGCTGGTCGCCAAGTACCAAGCCGAGCTCGAGGCCAAGCGAACCAAATAAGCTACCTCTAGACTCAAGCGCCCTTGATGAAGACGCAGTCTCCCGGACAAGCGATGCCGCTCATTCCTTGTCTTGATGGACCAGGCTGCCTTGTACAAATAGCCTTGTGAAACGTCCTTTATTTGGCGTACAAGAATGGATGGAAGGCATGCGATGTGACAATCCCAATTTCAATTATTCTAGAAGCGCTAGAACAAGTCATCCACGTGCTCAACAAGGTACATATGGGGATGTAGAAGGAAAAGGTGTAAAGGAGATACACAAAAGCAAAATTGTTGCTGTTTGAAGAGACAGATAGGATTAGAGCTAGATGGATAGACGACTTACATGTACGATTAGTAGTATGGAAAAAAAAAAAGAAGAAGATTGACCAAAGAATCCAGCTGAGGTCTCAAACAGCATGCGAGTACTAGATAAAACCGCCTTGTTTCGTATAAGCCACGCCTCCCTGTATGTAATGTTTCGGCATCGAAACAACCCAGATCCATCTCATCTCACAATCCCAAGGACTGGCAAAAGAACGAGATGGAAACATGAACCCAACAGTATGTTATTAAGCAACTATGAGGTATTGTCCACAGCTAAACCCCCATGCAAGATTGCCCAGAGTGTGTTGAATTGAGCAATACGAACACGCAGCTGGAAGTGAATCTTAGTTTCCCGTCTCCCTCATTCGCTTGTCTGCCCACCCCCGAGCTGCTTAGCTAGTCCTCTCGCTTGTCTCTTTTTGAACGGGGGTCAGGATCGGGTCTAAGGGGGGGGTCCTTGTCTCATTATGGTGGGAAAAAAAGCAAGAAGTAAGACATGAGGGAAGAAGAAAAAGGAAATAAAGGACGGGCACTTCCGCTTGATCCTTGATGGGGTCTCACTTAATATTTGGGGTCATGCCCCGGATGTCCCGAATGGGGGGTGTTTCGATGCGTTTTCAACGTTGTGGACTTGCGTTCGAGCTGTAGTACCATCGCTTTATCCTGGACAGTTACATCAAATAGCTCGTCTTCCAAAGTCCGTGAATGAGTACGCGTTGCCACAGAGATTAGGTAGTACGGCTAGTAATATCCCCCCAGAAAGAGAGAGAAAAGTGGTAGCGAGTACTTGTACATAGGGGAACAAACCTTGAAGTTCCCGGTGTGAGAGGTGGGAGGGGATCAGTATGGGGGACGTGCTTCAGCTTGGACCCCTTGACTATCCATTTACTGGTTATGCGAGTGATGCGGCATGTAAGGAAGAGAGAGAGAGAGAGAGAGCCTTATCACAATACCCACCCATTGTGTAAAGTCTGAGCATTCGTCTGCTCTACTGCACTCTATGACATCTCGTGGCCACGCCCCCCGTCTCAAGGCAAGGGGGGGTGGCCCGTCACTTCGTATTAGTGTTCGGAGAAGGATCTCGCCAAAGTGACCAGATGAATGAAGACCTGGACGCCCTGGGCAATGAGAAAACGAGCTGAGGGGCACCAGACGGGCTTAGTCTCGTTGAAAACAACCGTTGCGACCTTGGTAGTAATGATGTGGCTCGTGTCTTGTGCCGAGGACTCTCTCATCACGTCTGGGGAGGGGAACGCCTGGAAGCCGAAATGATTTAGAGGTTAGACGTTTGATATTGGCTCTTGTTTCGTTTTCGTCTGGCATAAGAGGGCCACGAGCCTAGGAAATTAATGAGTCTGGCAGCCATCTCGCTGGCTGGCCAATCAAGGCTGCGGACGATGAGGTAGCCACCTGTGCCTGGTGTTATTACACGACCTGCTCTGTGTGACATTTGGTTCCTGGCCATTGTCAAAGATTTAGATTATGACATAGGTAGTCACGATTATTTGAATGAGAAAGCCAGAATTGAGACAGTCAGCAGCGCATAAGCTGGCAGGACTTGAAGGTAATATCAAGGGCTCCTTCAATGGGCATCAGAAGTCTTAGTTGTAGGTACTTCCATTAGGTACCTTAGTGCCGGGTTTAAGGGCGCGGGTACTAGTATAGGTAGTACCAGCACTACGGCAGTGCCTGTAGATGGCAGCACAGCACAGCACAGCTCATGGAGCTGCTCCTTGCGGAAGGTCAATGGAACCATGGAACAGTCCGGATGGCGTCCCAACGACTTCCACTCTGGTTGGGTGTCGATTGTCGCCTTGGGGGGACCTCAGTCAATACTGGTCCGGGAAGTAATAGGCATTGATATCGTAAGCTTGTTGACAAGCTGGAGCTGCTACTACTAATCGCGGCGTTGGCGGATCGGCCCATCCGAGCTTCGTTTACCTAGGTACACACACCGCGCCTTGTGACGGGTGGCGCATCTTGCTATTTGCTATTTGCAGCGTGGCGCGCTCACGCTCCCAAGGCGCAGAGGCGCGTCTTGGTGCTGTGGGTTTGACGGACAACGAAGCGTGATTGGGACATGCAAGAGGCTGCAGAATCAGCAATTGGTGAAGATTTGGCTGCAGACTCGCCGTTATGCCGCATGCATGCACCTAAATGCGCGTCCTCTGTGTTGAGGGCTACACCTAGACAGCTCTTTGCCGAGGTACTAGGTACCTGGAAGCCGTGCTGGGTCTACCTGGGCCCCCAAGTACCTACCGCCGCTTCGCGATGCCCTCAAGTGCGACGACTTGGCTGGAACACCAGCAGCAACAGGCATCCGCAGCAGGTACATGTAAATATACTACTACGTATACGCGGCGCATGTGCCCTTTGACGCAATCAACCCGTTGCGCACCGCAGCCAGCACCTAACGAAGAGGCCACTTCATCGCTTTCTCTGTGCTGCAGTGCGCCATCCCTGACCAAGAGACGCAACCCCCCCCTGAGGCCATTAGACCCGTGTCGCGACCCGATGGAGCCCCGGACGCTGGTACCTTCACAGCATGTAGCCCCGAAGTACCGGCCTGGGACCCTCCCGTCCCTTTTCGCTGCGTCCCTCCCCTTCCACCGCCTTGCTCTTTTGTTCGTCAACCTCCCCCGATCCTGCGAGAGCTGCTGCTACGCTGGCAGCAGGCGTATAATAATAATATCACTTATCCATCCTGAAATCCTCCCTCTCTCTCCTGAAAAAACCCTCGCGGATGGTCTTCCCGCAAGCATCCAGCATCGATTGCGCGCGCACATCCGTTCCCCCAGAGCTTCCGCGGACGCGGACCCGTCTTTCACCATGAGCGCGGTCAAGAACCTGCGAGCCATGTTCGAGAACAAAGGGGACGCGAGCCCAGCGGACGAAGATAGAGGTAGATCCCTTGGTGTCTCAAGCCCGTCTCCAACCCCAGGAGGTAACAGCCAAAATGCCCTCAGTGTGTGCTGATGATTTCCGCCGTCTGCCTTGTCTCTGCTGCTCCTGTTCCAGCCTCCCACTATGTGCCCTACAAGAAGTCGCAAGCTGCCTGTTTTTGTCCCGCCCAGACGCTGCTCAGCTGCTCCTGTAGCTGTTAGTCCACTGTCCGCCTGCTTTGCTTGCTTGCTTGCTTTCTTCTTGGACGGCCGTCCTGCCCCCCCTCCACATTTACTGCCGCCATGCCAGTGGCAGGTCAGCCACAACAGAGAGACAAGAGCTGATGAGCTGGGGTCGGAAGCTGTCGAGGGTTCGAGAAACGCTAACTCGCTCTTCTTTCCGCCACTAGCTCGCAGCGGCTCCCCCAGGCCGCTCATCAATAAGGTGCGAACCAGCTTCGTTGCCGTCGAGCGCAACGGCGTCATCGGCCTGGTGAGGGAAGGCAGCTCCGCATCGCGAGACTCGTCCGCCCGTCCCAGCCTCGACATCGACCGCGATCTCCCCAAGACGCCCAAGAGCGAAAAGTCGCCCCTGTCGCCCGCCTTTCTCGCCAGCCTCAACTCCGCCATGTCTGGCATATCGGCGCGATCCGCCCGGGCCTCGCTCGAGTTCCAGCAGGAGCAGCAGCAGCAGCAGGGAGCCGTGACCGACAAGCCCAGCCACAACCCGGACAAGGTTGTCGACGAGGAGACGCCCACCGGCATGCTGTCGCCGGCCGACCCGACCGTCACCAAGACCGAGCCTGAACCTAAGCCCGAACCTAAGCCTGAACCAAAGTCTGAACCGAAGCCTGCGCCCGAGCCCGTGTCCGCCTCTGCACCTACAGCGAAACCCGAACCTGAGAAGCCTGCCACTAAAGAGACTGCCCCTGCCAGCAGCACCGAAAATGTTGCGCAGAAGACGGCCAAGACGACGACGACGACGACGACGAAGCCGGCCGCTACCAAGGCTGCGGTGAAACCCACAGCAACCAAGACTACGACCGCCACCAAGACCGCAGCTACAAAGACGGCTGCCGCTCCCAAGGCGGCTGCTGCCAAAGCTGAACCCAAGGCTGCTCCCAAGACCGCAGCTGCTGCTACCAAGGCCTCTGCCGACTCCTCCAGGAGAGCGAGCGTCAGGCCTCTGCAGAGGACGGCCGAAGCTTCTGCTGTCAAGAGGGCATCTTCCGCTGCGGCTGTTGCCAACAGATCTTCGTCCGCCGTGAGGTCGTCTTCCACCGTGAGACCGACCTCGGCCGCAAAGACTCGCACTGGAGCAGCTACTACGACTGCTGCTAAGAAGACGCTGCCCAGCAAGTCTGCCGACACTATCGTGAAGCCGAGAACCAAGTCGCCCACCAAGCCGGTCAGCCTGCCTGCTTCTCTCACGGCGCCCACCGCCGCCTCCGGCTCCAAGACCGGTGCGGCCACCGGACCGGCTCAGTCGAAGTCGACTACGTCTTCACGACAATCCACCAGCCGGCAGAGCGCACACTCGTCCACTTCCACCGGTCGCCCAGCCAAGCAGGCCACGCGATCTCGACCCAGCATCGGGCCGCCGCCCGCCAAGCCTGCTCGTGAAGCGCCCAAGAAGGCAAAGGACGTTGACGAAGGTTTCTTGGCTCGCATGATGCGGCCTACGCAAGCCTCGTCTAGCAAAACGCAGGAGCCGACTACGCCTCCCAAGAAGTCTTGCTCCCGGCCCTCTACTGCCGGCACCGCGGCATCCGGCGGATCCGATCGCAGTCACTACGAGGGCAGTCCCACTAAGAAGTCCTCGCCTAGGAAGAAGCAGACTGAGACCGGCTCTAAGAAGTCTCCCTCCCCTACGCAGTCCGAGGAGAAGCTTGTCATTAGGCCCAAGGAGGAAGTCGCCGAGGAGGCTGCGAAGAGCGCGGAGGCTGCCCCTGTCGAGCCCGCAGAGCCCGAGGCCCTCCCCGTGGAAGAGGCGGCTGTCGAAGCTGCCAACGCCGAGACTGTTGAGGAGGTGGTTGCCATTGCTGAGGAGGCCGAGCTCACCCAGCCCGCCCCCGAGCCCGAGGCCGAGGTGGCCGAGACCAAGGCTGAGGAGGTTCCCGCCGCCGATGCCGCTGCGGAGGCTGTTGCTCCCGTGGTGGAGGCTGAGGTTGCCCCTGTTGAGCCGGCCGCTGTGGCCGCCGAGGAGGCCAAGGTGGAGGAGGTTGCTGAGCCCGTTGTCGCGCCCGCCGCTGAGCCCGTTGCCTCCGAGACGATTGAGAAGGCAGAGGCATCTTCATAATCAACGACTTTTAATCAATGGCAAAAAAATAATAATAGCAGTCTGGTGTTTTGTTAGGTCATGGATGGCGTTGTCAGTTTGACTCGGCGGAGACTTACTTCTTTCATTTCTTGCTCTCTTGTTCGCCTTACCTATGTTTTATATCGAACCAACACCCGACTGTCTATGTAATACTGGGCAGGCCCCCTCCTGAGGCCATTCTGTCGAAAAGGAGAGATGTAGTTTATCAAGATACCTTAGATACCTTTGTTTATAGCGACCACTGGTGATATTCCTCGTTTCTTTTGCTTTGTCTTTTTCATATGTTGCTTTGTTTTTTCCAGGGAAAGCGTTGGGTGTGTTTCTGGGCATACGAATGCGTTCTTTTGCCGACTGATGTCATCTTCGGGTTGCAGGATCTCTCGGACCCTTTTGTGTTTATGCTTATTTGTTTGTAATTGAATCTACCTATTCTTACAATGAGATGTTCCTTTTTCTGCTCTTTTTGCCGACTCCCTCGCAATCTCCTCCTTTGTGAAATGCACGATATATATATACAACGTAATCAACAAGTTGAAGGCGTCTCCAAAACGCCCCTTCTTCCCCCTTCTCCCTTTGGTCTATCCTCTCCAACATTACTTTTCCTTTTTTTTTTTTTCGAGACTCAGACTCAGACTCTGATATATATATTGGTGATTGGGCTCCAAAAAATCATGACACGCGGCACATGAGCACACCGCCGACCTTTCTCGCCAACGCCTCCCTCGCCTCAAGAACCCCCCTGGACGTGCTCACAAACATACACTCGCCGACGCCCAAGCCCTGCACGACGCCGCCCTTGAGCTTTGTCGGGAACCCCCTGGTCAAGCGGCCGAGCTCCTCGACGTCGACGGTGAGCTGCCTGGAGGGCTTGCTAATGACCTGGGCCTTTGACAGGACGGGCCGGCCGTCCCAGTATTTCAGGCCGAGCCATATGCGCATCTGGGCGACGGTGGCGGAGGTGACGGGCTCGGGGACCTGGGCGACCATTTGCTCGGGCGTCGGGGGGCGGGTGCCCGGGGAGCGGTAGACGGAGGAGAAGAAGCCGGAGCGGTGGAGGGCGAGGGCGAGGTGCAGGTTGTATTTCGTGGAGGGGACGGATGTGAGGCCCAGGCGGGCTTTGGATGCGTTTTGCAGGTGCGAGCACATGTGTGCTATGTTGAGGATGGACGGCATGGTTGGCAGGTTTGGGAGATTTTTGTTGGTTCGGTTTGTTTGTGGTGTCGATGTCGAGGGTTGGGGATGTGCTTCTTCTGAGGAAAGATTGTTAGTTGAGACTGGATGATGGGTTGGAATGAGGTGCGGTTTCGAAGGGTGGGCTTACAGCGCATCGTCTGCGGCCAATTGCCCGCGTTGTATGGCTGTTGATGTCGCCCAGAGTCAGTTGTCAGATAGGCTTTGTTATATGCTGGCCGGGGCGAATGCGCAAGAAGGTGTAGGTTTTGGGAAATGTTGTTTGATGGAGATTGTCGCGATTGTTCGATATGGGTGGTGCTGGATCTGGAGGTGTTAGCGGGTTGTCAAAATTTGGATGTGGATGACTAAGCCGGTCTGCACACACCGATTGTGGCTCTATCGCATCGCTGTTGAGCCTTTTCGAGAGAGTCACTTAATGAACCAGCAGGATGGCACTGTTTAGTTAGCACAGGATATTCATTCATTCATTCGTTCTTCTTCTTAAGACTTTGAATTGATGTTTCCGTGATTGGAGCTGATTCATACAATTATCTGCTTAAACAACATGATGCCGCCCATATTACCAGTCTACAGCTTTTTGCCCAATATTAACCGCTCCAACCGAGAACTTCATGTACAGGATCCAGGACAGCCTTCTACCTCCCTAGGTATCTTCATTGATCTTCAATGAGACACAGTGCCGTGTTCCAGACACACATCTCCTAAGTTAACATCAATGGGGAGAATCAGAACGTCACCACCACAGCCTCATTATGCCGAGTAACCGCCCTCGGCATCATTTCCAACCGAAAAGCCTGCCCACAAGCGAAAAGACCGATCCCCGACGCCTATACGCCAGCACCAGCGCCGTCAAGACAACAGGACTCGACACGAGCGCAACGAAGCTCCGCACCAGCATCTGGCCCTGGCGATCGCTCTTCCGCACGATATCCGCGTATCCTTCGTTGCCGAAGCTCACCCTCGAGTACTTTGTCTGCCAGCCAAACGACGGGAAGTGCACGCTCATAAACTCCTCGAGGAACTTGCGCAGGCGGTAGCGCCGCGACAGCACCGACGACCGCATCTCGACGTAGTTTTGCAGCGCCAGGTTGTTGATGGCGTAGGCGTCCTCGGCGCGGACGGCCGAGTACTCGGCCAGCGCGAGCCCCCGCTGGAAGGCGGCCGTGGCGGCAGAGTTGACGAGCTCGCCGTCATCGTTGTCGTCGTCGTTGTTGGGCTTGTTGGACTCGTCGAGTTGGGCGTGCTTGTCGAGGATGGAAAAGAGGATGCGGACGTCCTCCATGCCGGCGTTCATGCCCTGCCCGTAAAAGGGCACCATGGCGTGGGCCGCGTCGCCGATGATGACGCCCGACGAGCCGTGGTGGTACGGCTTGCACTTGAGGCTGATGAGCGGCAGGTGGGGGTTTGTCGTGAAGGACTTGATGAGGTCCGGCCCCGGTATCAGGGCGGTTACCCCGGGGAAGTGCTTGTCGAAGAAGGCCGGGACCGTGGAGGGATCGCGCTCCAGCTCGGCGATGTCGCCGCTGGGGATGAAGAGGGTGCATGTGAATGAGCCGTCCTGGATTGAACACTCGTTAGTAAACCTGCCATGATTGCAAATGAAGTATTTGGAATCAGACAAGAGCTGCTTACCATGCTCGGGATGGCGATAAACATAAAGTCCTTGCCGGGCCAGATGTGCAGATGGTTCGGCGATATGCGGAACCTGGCATTGGGGTCCCCCTTTTCGTCCTCCTCGCTCACGGCCCGCGGCGGCAGATGGAACTCGCACCACAGCGTGTCGATGTACTCCTGCTGGTAGTCCATCCTCGTAAACTTCATCAGGTGGTAGCGGACGGCCGAGTGCGCGCCGTCGGCGCCAATCATGAGGTCAAAGGAGATTTCGATTTCCCGGGGGCGGCCGTTGGCGGCCACGTCCTTGTCGCGGGCCTCGAGCCAGGCCTTGTTGGCCTTGAAGTCGGCGCCCGTGAGCTTGTGGTTGAAGAAGAGCTTGACGTTGGGCAGGGCGTCGAGGATGTCCAGGAGGCGTGCGTTGAGGGTGCCTCGGTCGATTGCATTGATGGCCTATACGTTTCATTAGCCATTGTATCTTGATAGCAACAATATGTTCATCTCTTTGATGAGAGAAGAAAGAAGAAAGAAAAAGAAAGAAACAAGCAACCAGTTAGGGCACTCCTTACCCTTCCGTTGACGTCGTAGTTCTGAGAGTGCTCGTACAGGCTGCCATCCGGCGACTGGCCGTGAATCATGCGCCCTCGCATGGGGATTGTCGCAGACATGACATGGTCGACGAGCGAGGGCTCGCCAGACTGCTTCATGGCATTGATGCCCCGTTCAGAGAGCGCCAAGTTGATTGACTTTGTAAAGTTGAGCGGCACGATGCTCGGATCGCGAAGGTCTGCGGCCGGCCGGTTAGCGGAGCGAGTTGACAACCATTTTACAAGGCAAGGTAGTCGAGCTCCTCGACCGTGAGAGATGCAGAAAGCAACAACACAGCGCCAATAAAACACATGAATTAGACACCAAAGTAATTGTCCAACAACATAGAGCAGAGAAGAAGTAATAGAAGTACTACGGTGTGAGCAACGACATCATCGTCAGACCGAGCTCGGAGGTGTCGGGCTCACCTCACCACCTCATACAACGCGGAAACGGCGAAGAAGCCTGAGGGAAAAAAAAAATATAGCTTCACTCACCCGGCCGCAACTCATAGACCTCAACTTGGTATCCTCTCTTGGCGGCATATAGCGCTGCCAGCGACCCGACGGGCCCAGCGCCGACAACGACAACCTTAGTGTCCGCCATATTGGGGGGGTTTTTGGTTCACAGAGCCGAACAGCTCCAGCGATTTGTGATCATGAGAGGGTGAGAAAAGGAACAGGATCGGGAGCTCTGGGAGCTATAGTAATAACATAAGGAGAACTATCTAGCATTTCGGGCCAAAGGGGGCGAAACCATGTTGGCATAACACCAGACATAGTAGCAGCAAATTTCATGCTAAGAGAGCCCGTACGAGTAATACCTCAAAGCCGTGCCGGTTTGAGTGCCTCTGATCACATCATGGCCCTTCCAGCAAAAAGCCACACTTTGTTGTGCTCTGTGTGTTATTGGTAAGGCCTCTTTTTAGCGGTTGCGTCCAACTCCGTTAGCACTGTCATCTCAGGGCTGCCGTTTGATTTTAGTGGCTTCCTCCGTGAGAATCTCATGGCGAGGAGATTCTAAGTACCTGGGAAGGTATCGAGAAAGAGAAGAAGGGCGATTGATTCCATCAAGAATGTTCTCGGAACCTGTGGCGGAAGAAGACGAGGAATTTCTGCAGCCAACCAAAAACGGCTCTTCCGCCACAGAAAATGCAGCCACCTGCAGGTGGAGGTTCCAGTTAGACGCTCACATCGCTGAGGCTGCAGAGGTACCGGGTACATGTGCGCCATGATCGGAATTTGCAGCCCCAATTCCCGTATCGGTCCCTTTATCGCACGTATATTTTTTTATGGCTTGATAATATCTGCCTACTATCCGATCCACCTCTGCGATAGCATCTACGATTCTGCATCCCTCCACGGCATCGCCTTCTCGAGTTGTTCCCGTGCTACGTGCCTCTTCCTTGTGTTTATCCGTGCAGTATCGACTATCCGTACTCTCAGTCGCTCGAGATGGCATCAGAACCCCCCGCCAAAAAGAAGTGCCTGGGCTCCGACTGCAGCAATGAGGCCGGCGCCCTGCAGTGCCCGACATGCTTGAAGCTCGGCATCAAGGACAGCTTCTTCTGCTCCCAGGAGTGCTTCAAGAGGAACTGGGTACGTAGAACAAATGCCGCTGTCTTGCTTGACCCTGTAGCAAAGTCTCGAATGGGCACGCAAAAGCGGAAGCGGACAACGAAAGACGGCCCGCACTACCAGGTAGATCGACATGGACTGACCCGCGGCGCAGAGCGAGCACAAGAGCATGCACAAGACGCAAAGTAATCTCCTCCACCACTTCGTTGCCCCGAAAGCAATCTCACCAGACGCAGTCACCGGATACTACAACCCCTTCCCGAGCTTCCCCTTCGCCGGCCCGCTGCGCCCCGTCTATCCGCTGTCCGAGCATCGTACCGTGCCCAAGTCGATCCCCCATCCCACCTGGTGGCAGGACGGCGACCCCAAGTACAGCCGGTCCCTCATCAACCGCAACAAGATCGACATCCACGATGCCAAGGGCATTGCCGCCATGCGCAAGGTCTGCCGGCTGGCGCGCGAGGTGCTCGACCTTGCCGCGGCCGCGGCCAAGCCCGGCGTCACCACCGACTACATTGACGAGCTCGTCCACAAGGCTTGCATAGAGCGCGAGGTGAGTGTTGGAACCTCTGTAACGTGAGGCATGGCATTATGGAGCCGTAGCGCTGACTTTTCTTTTCGCAAACCAATCCAGTCGTATCCCTCACCTCTAAACTACAACCACTTCCCCAAATCCTGCTGCACGTCCGTCAACGAGGTCATCTGCCACGGCATCCCTGACCAGCGCGTGCTGCTCGACGGCGACATCCTCAACATCGACATCAGCTTATACCACGGCGGATACCACGCCGATCTCAACGAGACGTACTACATTGGCGACAGGGCCAAGGCTGACCCCGACAGCGTGAGGGTGGTGGAGGCGGCGCGCGAGTCTCTCGACGAGGCCATCAAGGCCGTCAAGCCCGGCGTCCTGATCCGCGAGTTTGGCAACATTATCGAAAAGGTGGCCAAGCAGAAGGACTGCAGCGTCATCAGGACGTACTGCGGCCACGGCGTCGGGAAGCTCTTCCACTGCCCGCCCAACGTGCCGCACTACGCCAAGAACAAGGCCGTCGGCGAGTGCAAGCCCGGAATGACCTTTACCATTGAGCCCATGGTTGCGCTGGGCAAGTACAGGGACATTACGTGGCCCGACAACTGGACGAGCACAACCATTGACGGAAAGCGAACGGCTCAGTTTGGTATGTTCAAGGCGCCGCATGTCATTTCCTGGATTCTCGGGGGTTACAGACGCTAAATAATTTGTGATTTGCAGAGCACACTCTTCTCGTCACCGAGGACGGCTGCGAGATTCTGACGGCACGGCTGCCCGATTCGCCCGGAGGCCCGGTTCCCATGCCGGAGAAGAAGGTGGACGGGGCGGCGGCTTGAAGATTTGTTTGAGCAGATAACTTCGGGATGGATGTATCTATGTATGGATGAATGGGCGGCTCTGACCGAGTGATTCGATACCACGGTTCTGTAGCGTTGGGCGATGCATTGGGTGTTGGCGTCGGTGGGTGAGCGAGCGAATAGAGCCGCTGTTGTTGCTGCGAACCGCTGTGGATCATTACCTGTCTGCTGCGAGCTGCATGTGGGCATGTTAATGAGATGCATGTAAAGCGACGTGTAGGTATGATGGGAATTGAAGCTCCAGTCTTTGTAGCACCAGAGCTCATCCATCTCTTCAATGGCTGGATGATGTCTTACAGCAGGCCGTTGAGGAGCTTGGGTGACCTCGAGATAAGAGACGGCGAGTACCTGTACCTGCGGGGTTGCGCGTGCCCTTGCGTCGGTGTGGAAATTCACATGAAAGTCTACTGCTGTGTGCCTTTGGTGCTGGCTGCAGTGGGATATGCAGCTGCGGGTAGCAGCAGATGATGAACAGATTAGTAGAGATGTGTCTTTTTTGACGGGAGAACAGACTCAATCTTTACGACAGGCATCATAGCGACGAACACCTGGTATTAAGCTTATCTGGTTCCCTGTTTGAGAGATTACCTACTATCAAGACTCGAGTTTTTCAGCTCCTCTGCATCGATCGAGGTACAGTTACGCCCCCATGCCCTCGACTCAGTACTCAGTACCCCTCCCCAGCCCGAACCCGCTGGCGCTCGCCAAACAGCGCTCATCCTCCCCACTGCCCGCAGCTTCGGACGGCATTTGAGTGGTTAATGTGAGGTGGCCACCAGCTCCAGGCGCTGGTCCAGCCCCAAAATCTCTCTCTCCCCCAGAGTCATCGCCACTGCTAGTAGTAACTCGGAAACAGCTGGAACCAGGCAGCTCAACCAGCTTTCCAGGTTTTCTCTCCCCTCTGCCTACCTACCAATTGCCTCCATTCTTGTCAAGTTCCGCCCACAAACTCGAGTCTTCAGCTTCGTCATTCTCGTTATTACCGACTCGCCGCACCAGCATCTCTTTTTAAGGCCACCTCGCCTTTTTCTTTGCGCCCTCGCCAACTGAATCTAACAACACCCGGTGAGTTATAGCCCGGCCAGCCACTAGCCCGCAGCTCCGAGCGCAAGCTTTTTTTTTCTTCTTCTTCTCGCTCCAAAACAACCCCCACTAATATCAGCCAGTTCCCCTCCCACAGCCGCGCCGCAAGTCGAAGCTCGTAACGGAAGCTCGAGCAACGCCCACTCCGCTATCGCCTCTACCTAGCTGAAGGAACCGACAAGAAACATCTTCCTCTCTCTCTTCCTCTCTCCCTCTCGACTCTGCTGCTCCCGCTTGTGCTGCTCCCGCTGCTGCTGCTGCGTCTGTCGCCTCACCTCGTCCTCCTCCTACCGCTTGCTGTCCGCCTAGCTCGTCGTCTCGAAAACACACGTCATGATGTCTGGAGAAGCGTGGCTGTTCCTGTTGGCGGTGTTAATCAACGCCGTCAACCTGTTCCTGCAGGTCTTCTTCACCATCATGTACAGCGACCTGGAATGGTACGGCGCCTCCCCGAAAACAGCCCTGGGCAGCGGCCTCATGCGCGCTCAACGCATCTTCCGCGGCGCCCTCGCTGGGCACATATGGCTGACTTGAAGTGTTTCACATGATAGCGACTACATCAACCCCATCGATCTCTGCAACCGCCTCAACGCCTACATCATCCCCGAAGCGGCCGTCCATGGCTTCCTGACCTTTTTGTTCCTCATCAACGGCTACTGGGTTGCGCTCATTCTCAATCTTCCTCTCCTCGGATACAACATCAAGAAGTGAGCTCTGCTCTCGAAATGGTGGCCTATTGCCACAGACGGAACCCCTGATTTCTAACCTACAATCGCTAGGATCGTCGACAACACCCATCTTCTTGACGCCACCGAGATCTTCCGAAAGCTCAACGTCCACAAGAAGGTTCGTTTTGTAGCGCTGGATCCGCGACACTACCAAGCCTGTCGCTGACATTTTCGCAACAGGAGTCGTTCATCAAGCTGGCCTTCCACTTGATCATGTTCTTCTTCTACCTCTACAGCATGATCGTCGCCCTCATCCGTGACGAGTCTTCGTAAACCAGACGTCGAATTCACCGGCGAAACTACCTAACCCATCACACCAATTTCTCCGGCAGGGCCGACGCGACCAAACATAACGGCAACTCTGACGAAGGGGGGGTGCCGGTAGGGCAGAGTAGGGCAGAACGAGCATGGGACACTGGAAATGGACCGATTATGACTAGAATTACGCTACGATGGAGCAACATGACTTGATGGCGCGGATGACTTTGGGGGGGGCGGCTTCGCATGCAGTTTCAGGCACGGCGTCTGGTGACATGCTGGCGCTTTGAGCTTCATACCGAGAGCGACCCCTTCCTCTCTTCGTCTGGAAGAGATGAAGTTCGAGACCAAGGCTACAGCAGCTTCGTTCTCTTCCTTGTATACGAGGATGGATGCTGCTGGGTCGGGCAGGGTTGGAGTAATGACGACACTTGAATGTGAGGAGGAGATGATTTGGCTGAATGACTAATACAATTAATTGTAAAGAATGATTATCATCAAATGATCCTGACGCTCTACATGTTTGTTGTGCTTCCCTAACTGATACCTTCCTTTGCCTTTTTGGTCTGCAAAATTAAGCGATGCCCCAGCATTGATATTCAACGGTGTTCACATTATCAAGTCATTGAGAGATGATCGTTGCATAGTTTTACGCACAGCCGATCGCAAATACATATGAGCGTTCAAAATGCGACCTAATCCACAGATTTGAGACAATTGCTCCCGGCATCAGCGCAAGACTCGAGCAACAAGCTACACTGTCGTCATAGTGTGTCACGTGACCTAGTCTTGATCAAGACGCGCCACGACTTCTTCCCTCTCGACCTTGTCTGCTTCGGACCAGCAAACCCCAACCGCCGCAATCATGGCCGACTTTGGCGAGTATCCGCCCAACATGGCGCCGCAGGACGCGCTCGTGGTGCGCCAGCAGGCGCAACCGGACCACGAAGTCGTCAAGTACACGGCAGAAGACCTTTCACGGCCCCAGGCCGGCCCAGCCTATCCGTACAAGCAGAAGGAGAACCCGCTCAAGCGCAAGAACGTATTGACGGGCCATGCGGAGGAGATGTTCCTGAGCGAACATTCGTTCCGGCGGAAACACAGAGCGGTGGAGGCAAAGGCCGGGCCCAAGGTCAAGGTCGAGCGGGAAGGCAAGGGAGATGCGAGCATTGCACAGGGCGACGGCGAGTACGTTGGGCCCTGGGCGAAGTTCAAAAAGGATCGATACGAGGAGGTGGAGGCGGTGGGCGAGGACGAGGACGGCTACGAGTACGAGTACGCGGATGAGGACGAAGAAGACGAGGTTGTCGAGAGCGGAACGGTGGTGCAAGCGCCCAAGGGTGCGCTGGCTCGCCGCAAGGAAGTCGAGGACCTGGGCGAGGAGACGACGACGTTCCACGGCTCGGAGGAGTACGACTACCAAGGCCGCACATACATGCACGTCCCGCAGGATCTCGACATCGACCTGCGGAAGGAGGTGGGCAGCGTTACCAATTTCATACCGAAGAAGCAGATACACGGCTGGAAGGACCATTCAGGAGCCGTCACGGCGCTGCGCTTCTTCCCGAAGTCAGGACACTTGCTGCTGTCGGCCGGCGCAGACACGACGGTCAGGATTCGCGACGTGTACCACGACAGGGAGCTGCTGCGGACGTATTCGGGCCACTCCAAGTCGCTATCCGACATTTGCTTCAACAACTCGGGAACGCAGTTCTTGTCTGCTTCGTATGACCGCATGATTAAGCTCTGGGACACGGAAAAGGGCATCTGCATCAGCAGGTTTACTACCGGCAAGACGCCTCACGTTATCAAGTTCAATCCCGATCCCGAGCACTCCAACGAGTTCCTGGCCGGCATGTCGGACAAGAAGATTGTGCAGTTTGATATACGCACGCCGAACCAGGTCGTGCAGGAGTACGACCACCACTTGGCAGCCATCAACACCATTACTTTTGTCGACAACAACCGCCGTTTCATGACAACGTCCGACGACAAGTCGCTGCGCGCATGGGACTACAACATCCCCGTGCCCATCAAGTACATTGCCGAGCCGGACATGTATCCGATGACGAGGGCCGCGCTGCACCCGTCCGGCAAGTACGTCGCCTACCAGAGCTCGGACAACCAGATCCTCGTCTACGGGGCCAACGACAAGTTCCGGCAGAACAGGAAGAAGAGCTACCGCGGCCACAACAACGCCGGTCTGGCGATTGACCTGGACTGCAGCCCCGACGGCCAGTTCCTCGCCTCCGGAGACCAGGCCGGCTACGTGTGCTTCTGGGACTGGAAGACGTGCAAGATGTACCACAAGCTCAAGGCGGGCAACCAGGCCGTGACGTGTGTGCAGTGGCATCCGCAGGAGACGAGCAAGGTCGTTACGGCCGGTCTCGATGGCGATATCAGATATTGGGATTAAAAGAGGCCTGTTGGAAGCGAGCATTGTTCACGGCGTTGGGGGTTGGGTATCCTGAAAATTGGAGTTTTCTCTCTGTAGATAATGAGACTTGCTGGTATGAGGGCGGGCTTTTATAAGGATTCACTTGGCGCTTCCAATGGAAGGAGTCATTTTCTACTTAAAAAGTAAGCCTTGTGTCCATGTGATGTTTGTGATGGATCGCATAGCTGATCACCAACTGGCGGTCATGTCGGGCATCTTGCACTTTGAGAATGAGTCGACATGTCGGAAGGACTTGGTGATCGGACAGACGTGTTTTTTTTTCGAAAGGAAAGATGCCGACAACGATAAGGGGCGTGGCAGAAGGTAATGACCCCTGGCGCTGACACGGGGTGGACAACCTCCTGTTCAGTATAACATATTCAAAGCCCAACGAACTTGACGATCCATACCAAGTTGTGGTTTTGAGATCTCAGCACGTGTTCTTATCTTGATGATAGAGAACAATAGCTGTTTTAATCTCCAGTTTGAGCTTGCATTGAGTAGCGAGGCGAGAAGCAGCGCTGAGATGTTGGGAGCGGTGCTCTGTAGGTGTGAGTGAGTAGATAAGCTGTTGATGCTATCTACCCAGCATACGACGGCACCCATCCAGGGGCTTTTTGGCTTCAAGATACCTCATGGGATTTTCAATTCTTAGTGAGAGCCCATCTTGTTGTGTGATCTATAAAGTCCATGCTAACATACAGGCTGTAAGCCACAAGCCCTCTCTTTGACGATCGTGTGAATTCTCGGTGCTCTGGCAGCTTTCTGCGAGATATCCAAAGCATTAACGGCGCCAATATGGACTCTCAATTACGTTTAACAATGTTACCGGGTCGGATCATAGTTGTAGACATCGCATAGTCATTTAACCACCTTCATAGACGGACACATGGTAAAGTATAATACAAAAATTCGAAAAGGGGTATCATTCGCTCAAAATTCCCAAGAAGATAATCTCCCAAGTTCCTACATCTCCGCCCAAACCCGACTTTTCTGATATGGCCCAGAAGGTAGAATAACGCCTGGATGAGAGAAACAGCAGTAATGCAAAAGCCAAAATAACAGACATTCCCGCACACAAGTCCCGTAAATCACCGACTCTGCCTTTGAAGAGGAGGAAAAGCGTATGCCTCCAAGAGGTAATCGTTGGCCGGGTCCATCCAGTCGGGGGGATCAATGTCTGCGGCCATGGCCTCGGTTGCGGTGTAGAGGACGACATAGCCTTGTTCCTCCTCCTCGTCGGAGTCCTCGTCTACCCCAGACTCGTCATCTTCGGCTTCAGCTTCATCTTGAACAAAGAAGATCATCAGCAACCCATATACTTGTACTCACGCCTACACAAAGATACATGCCTATTGATGAAGAAAAAGCGGCGTAATCCAACTCACCACCGCTCAGATACCCAAGACTTCTCCTCCCCTCATCATCATCATCATCAGCATCATCCGAGTCCCCGGCAGAAGATGACCCGTCCGACAACTCCGGCAGCAGCTGCAATACCATCTCCGTCTTATCAAGCAATAAGACGGAGGTGATGTTACTACCAGCTTCGTTGTTGTTACCGAAGAAGCTGTTGTCAACCACGTCGTCTCCCTCGGGAACGGGAGATGCACCGCCGAGCTCGTCAAACTGCGCAGCGTCCTCGGCGTCGAGGACGTGCGCTCGATAATCGTCGTCGTCGTTGTCGTCGTCATCATGTCCGTCATGAACGACGACGACGACGCCGGGTGCCTCTGCTTCTGGGCGGGCTTCTCGGGCGAGGACAATGAAGGTCCTGTCGTTGCCGAGGAAAGGGAGGCGCACATGTTCTCTGGGAGACATGACTCCTCCTGGGATGAGGTGCCGGGCGTGGGAAATGTAAATTGGATGATATAAGGTAGCCCAGTTGGCAAGGCAGTTGTGTGAAAGTCTTTTGTGTTTTGTCTGAACATGCAGAACATATGGCCCAGGGGAAAGGGAGGTTTTATAGACAGGGCGATGCTTGGATGGGGATCCCATCATCCCAACACTCTGCTCGAGGCGTTCACTCAAGGTTCATGCTTGAAAGAAGAACAAATTTCGCTTTGCATGAGAAGTGGACAAAGGTCTCCTTTTGTCACGATGTTAGCTTTGAGTTTGAGGATGGGTCTTGGAACAGGAGTTGGCATTTGCCCAGAGCAGAAGGGGCTGCTGGGACTGAAACCACCACCATGAGTTCATGGATCGGGCCTCGACGCATATGTTGCCGGAATACCGTGCTCCTACAACTTCAAAGCAAGCCCATCACTGACACAAGAGGGCGTACGATGCTGCATACGGCACTAGTTCATACAAGAACGAGCATATCGCATACAGGACTCTTCTCAACAACTCGTAGACAATCGCTCACTCATGCCGTGGCGCCTCGACTGGCGTCGCAACCATGAGCTCAAGAATGGAATGGACAACCTCCACGGCCGCGAGAGCCGTAATCTCGCCGTTGTCGTCGTAGGCGGGTGAGACCTCGACGACGTCGCCTCCGATAATGTTGAGTCCCTCGAGGCCAGCCAGGATAGTGGTCAGTTCGCGGGTGCTCCAACCGCTGGGCTCTGGAGTGCCAGTTGCTGTGATTTGCACCATTTCCCAAACTGTCAGTCAACTTCTTCCACAAAGCTTCAATCTTGAATTGTAAGAAAAGGGGGACGTACCCGGAGCGAACGCAGGATCGAGAACATCGATGTCAACACTGATATAGGTGCTGCTATTCCCAACTCGCTCTCGGATCCTGTCAATGATGGATTGTACTCCCATGGTGTCAATTTCGCGAGCGGTGATTGTATCGAAGCCGCAGCGTCTGTCGTTTCTCATGTCTGCCTTTTGGCGCATCACGGGGGCGCGGATACCGGCGTGGATGGACGAGTTGAGGATGAGGTTCTAGAGGTGGGGGGGTAAGCTGGGTTGCCATAACAGCTACATGTGTGCAAGGTAGGCGAAGCAAGTACCTCTTCGTGCGCAATGTGCAAAAAGGTTCCATGGTTGAGCCCCCTTTGTTGCTTGTTCAGCTCGATATAATTCGACACATCCGGAGAGATTGCCAGTGTTCAACTTACGCATAATCAGAAATACCACCGCCTTGTTGAACGTCAGCCTCATATACCATAGACAAGGAGAGCTTCCATACCCAAAACTTTCGGATCCCAAGTATCTGTGCCATGATTAGCACGAACCATTTCCTCCAAGCTCAACAAGTCACCAAGGCCTCAATCTTACCGATATGGCTATCAAAGTGAACGACCGACACCGGCCCCCATCGCTTATACGTCGACCGCAGCGCAGACAAAGTCGTTGTGTGATCGCCCCCAAGCGTCACAATCCGCGGAATCGTCGACTTTTCTGGGTGTGCTGTTGTTCTCCCGGACACTGCTCGGTGAGCTTGATCCAGCGTCCTGAGGGCTACCCTGTTGTCGAGAAAGGTCAATGGGGCGTCGGAGCAGTCGACGACTCTGGCCCAGTCTCGTACCGGGTCTCGGCCTTGATATGGGTTGAATGAGCTTTGGTGACATAGGTCTTTGAAGGTTGTTCTGGCGTTGACAATCTCACCAGTGTATAGGCTGTAGCCGTATGCCTTTCTTACGCTCGCAGCTCGGATAGCCTTTGGCCCAAAGCGCGCCCCGGGCCTTGCCGTCACAGCCTGTATCTCACTTTAATCAGTCTGAATTTCATTTGTTTCCAACAGGTGATGACTGACGGTGTCAAAGGGAGCCCCGAGAATGGCAATGTCGAAGCCCTCTGACGAAGTGCTCTCGACGAAGCAGTTTTCATAGGGCACGCTCGCATACGTGCCAATGCCGCCAATGTCGTACGTCGACAGGTCAATCTCACCAACGGCGCCTTCAGAGTGAGCCCAAAAGGGGATTTGGTGGCCGCCTTGAGGTGCGAATTGATGAGCGTTGACGCTCCCGTTTAGTAGCAGCAACAGCCATGTGAGGGGCTTTATGAAGGGGAGAAGGCGAGTCATGACGAGGTGAACTTGATATTGATCAATAGTCGGGCGATAAACTACAGAAGCGCCCGGTAATAAGAGTGGAATATAAGACACAAGCAAGAGTTTAGAGACTGATGAACTATCTGGTAGTTGTTGTTCCTTCGGAGGCCCCCGAGGTCACCCCGCCCAGTTCCATCGACCTTTCACCCACCATTTCAATCGAGACTTTGATGCCACTAAGGCAAGCGGCGATGTCACGCATTCTCGGCGCAAACCGTTACCCATACCCCTGTTCAAGTCTCTTTCAAATTTTCAGCTGGTTTCCTGCTGTCATAACCTGCAGAGAATATATGTGCTCTATGCAGAAGTCCATCCAGTTGCGTCATCCTTGGAGTGTTAAGTAGACAACCTTCTCTTTGAATATCATCTACGTCCCAACCTGGGGGCCTTTACCAGTGCTGAGCGCCCGCCAACCTTCATGACTTTGGGGCTGTCTGAGGAACTTTCTGAATCGCTGTCTGAGAAGCTTTCTGAATCGCTGTCTGAGATAGGTCTCTTCCTCGCTTCGACCGTCTTTGTGACTTTCTTCACCGACACCTCCTCCTTGCAAGGACATGTCGAAATCGGCTGCCGAATGTAAGACAGAGCCATATCTTGTGCAAATCCAGGAATTTCACCGATCAGGCCCTCCAGAGACTGATGCAAGTCGGGCTCAGCAGCAGAACGTCCGAGTCTAAGCCTAAACTCATCTTTCAAGATGCTGCGAAGACTGTTGCTAGAATCGAACGGCAAGCCATAAACGACTTTCGTGTATTGAGAGAGGATGTTAATGTCCACTTCTCCCTCCACAGCCTCGCAAAAATGCGACATTGATTTATCGAGAAGGCTGTCGATAAGGTACTTGTCCGCCAGAGAATATAATGCGATATGAATGGCGATTTCGTGAATCTCCTCAGATTTCTCCCACTGGTAGTATCCTTTGTAGAAAAAGTTGACCATTCGCCGAACACTGTCGATGTCGCAGTCTTTGATCTCGTATCTGCCAGAAGTCTCCTAAGTTGGCGAGCAGAAATAGTTAGATGTGCATACGTGAACCTCTCCGTATCACGTAGATATGACATACCTCAAATGAACCAGTGCACGCTGTCTTGAAGACGGGAGATTGCAGACAGAGGACAATCTTATGCAGCCGTATCGACTGGCCGTTGCAGACGAGTTCAAAGTCACAGAGCTCTGTATTCAAGTGCGCCCTGACGGAGTGAGAACCGGAAAGGTCAGCTTGGAAACCATCTGCCCTCATGACCATTACCCACCTTAGCATCTCGCGAGCTAGATCACAGCCATGTTGCGCATTTATTGGGTCTTCTCCCATTCTCTCGGTGATGATACGATGCAGATGTCGACGATGCAGATGTAACTTGGTGAAGCTGTGAAAAGAAGCAGCAGAGTTTGCGCAAGAGATGGCCAATTAAGAAAGAAAGAAAGAAAGAAAGAAAGAAGTTGACTTGCGTTTCCGCCAGCTGCCGGCAATTGAATTTACGACGTTGGGTTGCTTAGCAGACTGCCGTCGCATTCACTCGCTCATGGAGAGAAGAAGGTTGCTGTGCACGGTCCCAGCTTATGGCAACCCCCCTACTGGCCGTTCATCATTCACCTTGACGCTACTATTGAAGTCAGGAAGTTGGCACAACAACCTACCTAGGTAGCCAGCCAGATGAAGAAGTGCAATTGGTAAGTCAAGCAGGCGTTCTTTGATGCGCTGGCCATCTCATGGTATGATTGAAGGTTGCTTGATACAACTAGTATGTATGAAACACAGAGGAACGAAAAACAGAAATTATAAGAAAACAAACACGAAGTAACAAGAACATCTTTCAAGAGTTCCGAGACTGGTGATTGCAGCAGTCGTTCACGCTTAGTGAACTCCCGTAAACATCCATCCAGATTCGCCCATACAACATCCGGCTACCAAGGTAAAGCGGCGACGTCCGCCCTTTTTGAAACAATGTCCATGTCAACGACGCCCGGCAGATCTTTTTCCATTCATTGCCAGTATCAGAGCAGAAGGAAGAGGAGGTTTCGCTTTTCGTGGAACCACAGGCTCGCCGAATGATGACAACCTCTCTCTCGAAGCAGTTTCCACCCCTGAGTATTGCATTGTTTGCATTTCGATGAAAGCCAACAACACTATCGCCCATATCTTCGTGAAAGTCGGCGAAGAGCTTGGGACGTCCGGTCAGCACAATGCTCACATTTGGGGCAGCTGCTCAATGGCTCTTGGGCTTTTGATGGCTGTTGGGCCGTCAATGGTCGCTGGATAAACGATGTGGCAATATCTCGTGTAAATTCCGGTATGTCGCGAAATAGGTCTTGCAAAACTTGCTGGTCTAGCTCCTCGATGCTGGGGAGTCTCTGTCTGAGCTGTTCAACCATGATCTCGCGAAGAACCTTTCCTGAATTGCACTGCAAGTCGTATACCTGACTTACGTGCCGGAGCAGCACGCTGATGGAGCTCTCTGCCTTGACAGCTGTTCTGAACTTGGTCTCTGAAAGGCTAAGGAGGCCGTCGATGAGGTATACGTCGGCTAGACTGAACATTGTAACATGGGTAACCAATTCGTGAGTCTCCTTACTCTGGTCTTCTGATTTCTCTTGATAGTCGCCGGTATACATGTATTCGATCATTTGTTGGAGGGTTTCGAAGCTACAATCATTGATCTCATATGTTCCAGCAGCCTCCTGATCAAGCTTTTAGACGGTGTCAACTCAGCCTTTTCAGAACAGAAGCAAACTCACGAGAAATGGCCCGGTACAGGCTGCTTTTATGACTGGAGACTGCAAGCAAACAATGGCCTTGTGCACCGGAATTGTCTGACCTTTGCATGCCAGGACGAGATCGCATAGCTCTCCGTACTTTTGCGCACTAGAACGACCAGGAGGTAACGTCAGAGCGGACGTAGAGTTAATGCTGTATGATCTCGTTTTGTTTGCCATCCATGTACGCACCTTGCCAGTCGGCTGCACAGCTCAAGGGAATGCGGTACTGAATCGGCTTGTGTCATGGTGCCAGATCGATCGATCGACGAGACTGGAGGTAATGTCAGGAACGCTGAGCAGCCTTCAATTTACTTGGTTGTGAAGTTGAACCTTGCATTGATATCCATAGTTGTAAGGAGTCGCGAATTCTTATATTGCCGCAACCGTTGGGCGCTTCACAAGGCTGCTCACCACCTTTTGCCCAACCGCGAAGAGCATCCCCTGGTATTCGTCGGCAGTGCAGCGGGAGGCCTACATAGGATTCGATCCCGTCTCCGCCAATCATTATGCTGTTGGCTGTGTGACATGCATTCTTTCTTTTTTTTTTTCATCCTCAGCTAAGCGCTTGAATCGCTGACGTTACGAGACGAATGGAGGCGCGTTTGCAACACCACGGGCGTCTCGTCGATCAGGATGAGTGTTGATAGAACTATATCGTCGTATGGGCCTCTCCTATCTGAGCAGATGACGTTGAAGGCCTCCCACCTTTGACAGTGTGGGCGCACTGAAAGGCATCTTCATAAGGCATCTGTAGATGCAATCCTCGTCATTCTGCTGACGCTGATGCCATTTGACTGAAAAATGCCACCGTAGACAGATACGAGAGCATGGTATTACTGGTGTAGTCGTAAAGAAAACGAGCTGATACATCACCAACACCCAACGACGCCTTGTCCATCCTCGTGCCGATACACAGCCCGCGAGAGATATACATGCATCTTCTGCCCTAATCCGTTGCAATCTCAGAAAACCAAACCTGCATCGTCTCTCGCGGACGCAACCTCAACCACTCTACCTCGCAATGCCGCGCTTTCTACGAGCCGCTTCAGCAAAATTCCAAGGCGACACACGCGGGAAATTGGGAGCGGTCGTCGTGGGATTGGCAGGCTTCTCATAGTCGCCGAGCCACGTCGTATACTGCGGCTTTTCAATGTACGACATGGCAAGGTCCTTTGCAAAGTCGGGAATGTCGTCCATCAGGCCCTCCAGCGTCTTCTTAATGTCCGAGTCAGACGGCAGCGCGGCGACCCTCAGCCGGACAGCCTCAATCACGACGTCGCGGAGCCTCTTGCTGCTCTCACACTCGAGGTCGTACACGAGCTTGACGTACTGTGGCATCACGCTGGGCTTCTCCTGCTTCGTGACGACCGCCTTGAACTTGATCTGTGAGAGAGTGCGCAGCCCATCGATTATATACTTGTCCGCCAGCGTGAACATGGCGACGTGGATCAACATTTCCTCAGAGGACTCTGTCTCATCGGATGCCTTGGCGTCGTAGTCTCCGTTGTAGAAGAAGTCCACCATGCGCTGGACGCTGGCAAACTCGCAGTCCTTCATCTCATATCTCCCCGAGGCCTCCTATAAGTGTGTGTAAGTGTTAGCAGCAGCACTCTTGTGTGATTCCTTGGGCTTTCATAAAAGTATCACGTAGAAAGGTGAGCCGGCTACCTCAAACAAGCCGGTGCACGCAGCTCTAAGAACTAGAGATTGCAAACAGACGACGAGCTTATGGACCCTGATTGTCTGGCCATCGCAAACGAGTTCGAGATCGCACATCGCGCCCTCCGTCTGCGCGCTGTTGGAACGCGTTGAGCAAAGACAAACACGCAAAATCAGAGCGAATGCTTCAATGCTCACCTCGTCATGAGCATACAAAGACTAATAGCGTGCGATTGAGTAAACAGGTCACCCATCTTGACGCGTCTCTAGAATGGAACTATTGAAAGGAGAAGCAACCGAGGTGAAAAGGGGGAGGGGGGGCACGGCGAGCAAGACGGGTTGCTGCTTTCGATACTGAGAAACCCCGGGATATAAACAAAAAGTCGAGAGTCCCAGCGCACATATATATATATATATACATATGCAATAATTGCCCTGTCGATTCTGCCCAATCGCCAAGAGAAAGCGTTACGCGCCATCCCAGGTCTGTCCCGCCGAGGTCTGCAGACAGGATTCGCACATAACCATGCTCCGTACCATCTGCGCCAATCCCGGACGATGTGACCTGCTGTTGGTTGTGCGACATGCATCAGCGCCTTGCTAGGTATGCAACTCGCAGAAATGCGGTCTCCCCAGCCAAGAGCTGTAGCCGCCGAGGCAGACTCATAAAGCGCATTTGAAACACGACAGGCGTCTTGTTACTTGGGCTGAGCGCCGCTTGCATCTGCAGGTAAGTAGGTACTTATTCTTGGGTATGGCCTCACTGATAATGAGGTCAAAATACGACTACCTAGGTAGTAGTATACGATAACAAGCCAAAGTATTTGTATATGAAGATGTTGACCTTATAGTCTAGAATCTCTCGCTGCCTTTACCTGTTTATGACCTGTATATGAAAGGCCCTAGAGTAGTTTCGAAGATGATGCTTTACTTTGGAGTGCTACCTGACAGAACTCTGTGCCCGGCCTCGCAACTTTCTTAGAACATTGAATGAGACACACGGGAAGCGACGTTGAGGTTGCTTGCTTCTTTTCGAATGGAAAAACATAAACAAAGAGGGATCCAAGATCAAGAGTCCAGTAGATGGCCCTTGGACCCAAAGTGGTAGCAAATGTCTTCGTCTGTCCGAAATATACACCATAGACGATAGACGTCCTCAACGCTCAAAGAAACGCTCCATACCGCAATCCACCTCCCATATACTCAAACATCACTCTCCAATCCCCATCCCAACTCATCATCTTTACCCTCAAACCCCTAACTATACCACTGCATATCCTCAAAAAGCTCAACATCCCTCTCGCTCAGCCCCTCGCACCCCCCACACCCGCACCGAAACCCATAGCACGAATACAAGAGCTCTGGACTCAAATTTTTCCCATAAGAAATCTTGAGTTCGCGTCCAGCAGCGACATCCCTCCTCACCACCATCTCCAGCGCACGCGTCCCCTCATCGACCCGGTATTCCACATTATTCACCGGGAAGCACGCGTGGTTGAAGCGAGCCGCAATGGGAAACAGCCCTGCCACATAATGTCCGACGGCGAAACTGCATTTCAAAACCTCTCATGTAATGGTTAGCTGTGTCGTGTTAGGTGGAAAGTGAGTTGTTGCGATGGAGGTGACGGCAAGTTGAGACTTGCCAGTTGGTGTGCCAGATCGCGGTAATCTTGGGAGTATCCCCCTTGATGAGCTCGTGCGCGTGGAGGCTCAGCGCAACTTCTCTGTCCTGCACGCTGAGCTTGTAAAACTCTCGTATAATGTTGTGGCTCTCTGCCACAAAGAGTGGAATCTCTCTCAGGATCACGTCTCCTTGTCTGAGATCTCGCGTGGCAAACGCTCCCCAGCCGGCAACGCGAGACTTTGCAACCTGAAAGTACTCGTTCCGATATTCAGGGCTGGGCGACAGCTTGCGGGTGAGGGGAAGCATAAACCGTGTTTCTGGCTCTCCTTCTTTCTTGGGCTTCTCCTCCGCCTTGGAAGTCTCGGATATAGTCAAGTCGACGAGTGCACCTAACAATGTCTCTTCTTGCAGTAACTCGACGCCGGTCGCGGTTGTCTCGAGCGTCTCGCTCATTTTTTCGCGGTCTTCACATGTTGTTTCTTCCGAGCTCGGCGCCTCACTCCGCGTCTCTATCGTGCTGCTCAAATCTCATCAGCCACTTTCCCAACAAGAGAGAGAGAGAGAAACAGTAGGAATCAACCTGATGGTGTCCTCTTCCTCCGTAATCTCCTCTGCAGCCTCATCTCTCGTGACGCTGAATAACCATGGAAGCTCAGTCGATAACCGCTTCTGCCTCCTCTCGTGTGTCTGTATAGGGATCGGATAGATGTCGGTTTTGGGTGTGGTGGTAGCGGAGCTGGTCGCATTTTCTCTATAGAACGGTAGACTGCAGACAAGCTCTAGCCTTCCTGACCAGGGGTGTAACAACGCGGCAACTGTCACGGAATAAGCCATCTTAAGAACAAAAAGTGATCAGAAGAATAAGGCGAATGTGAATCTGGGAATCTCCAGTTTTGTGCCGCTGGGTTGAGTAAAGTGAGCCTGTTGTGAACGGGGAAAGCGAGCACACGAATATCGATATTGAGGGCCTGTTAGCAAAGGAAGCAAAGAGCAAAGTCAAAATTAATAGCAAAGGTTAAGTGCATTTGTGGCTGAGCAGAGCCAAGAAGTGAATCTGTGAAGAAGTGAAGAAGTGAAGAAGCATGTTGCTGCTTTAATACGTGCAAAGTGCCCGTTTGCATTGATTCAGGTCACGAGACTGCGAAGATAGCTGCAAGATCTCAAACCCTCGTCAGATAACCCGTCACGCCTAAAGAGTACAACGGTGAAGCTATATTGCATGCATTGTAGTGGCAATCAAGGCACCTCACTATCATCACAGACAGAGCTGCTCCATTCAACGGGAACAAGCTGTCATCACACCGCTCCTTATCTCCAAAGCCAGTATCACCAAAACAAGCATTCACCACATTCAAAGATCATGCCGTGGCACACGAGCAACTACAGGACTGCATATCGATTAACAAATTTTGAGTAAAGAATAACTCTCCGTGTATAAGGTAACCCATGATGCCTTGTAAACAACCGCAAGCCAATGCCCAAGTTCCATTTGACGCCATCCATGCATGCTTTCTCCTTGTGCTCATTCCCGTGTGTAACGACGCTACCCTCAGAGTCCCATTCCACAAGGCCGTAAACATTCTCATCGAGGAGACCATCCACCTCTTTGCCATTACATCCAGCACCAAAGGTTTGTTCCAAGGTATCTGCCCACCCCAATGAGCAGCAGTGACCCTAACAATACGCTGAACATATTCCTAAGCAAAGTCATCTCAGATCACACCTAAAGGCCAACCTAACAGAGTGCAATCACGCACGATCAACGCCAAGCTTCCTCCTCGGGCGAAGCGGACAGTCTCCCTGACAGTCAGGACACCGCAGGCAGCCCGGCTTAGACCACACCTTCCTGCATCTGCAAACCCAGAGGTCCCGCCCCGTCCTTGTAGTAAGGCAGTCGAAGGGGGCGTGAATCCCCGTGTCCACGCCGCACGAGATGCAGAACCTCCGAAGCATGACGAGTCGATCCGACCGCGGGTCCGGCTCTCGATCACGGACAATGTGCCCATGGACGTCGACGTAGACGGACAGGGGCTGCAGCATGTCAAAGTGCTCGGGCGATCGCACGCGGAAGCAGACGTAGCACTCAAAGTTGCCCGGCTTGTAGTCGTGCCCCTTTTCGCTGGGGCGGTGCTGCGGAAAGTCTTTGGCGGCCCTCATGACGAACTGGGCCTTGTCTGCGGGATCCGCCATCGCCCGGGGATCGATGGTCTGATGGAAGTATCGGTTCATGGTGGACAGGTGGATGAGTGTTTGGTAGTCGAGGTGAGAGAAGACGAGCCTCTGGAGCTCTTGCGGTAGGCGTTCGATCAGGGACGGCATGGTTCGCGAGTGATGGCGATGATGAGAGGGGTGAGGTAGCTGCGGGGAACGATACAGTTGCTGATGCTGGTGATGGTGGTGGTGTTGTGGCTGTTGCTGGAGCACCTGATTCGGCCTCTGGGGCTGGTGATCTTGTGGAGACAGGTGGCCGTGCTGGTACCGATGTTGATGGTCCATCTGGGAGAGACTGTGATGACGGTGGTGACTGTGAGGTTGACGTTGATGAAGATGTAGAGGCGGGTGTTGGTATGGTCGTTGGGGGTTGTTGTAAGGATGATAGTGGTGGGCGAATCGAGAAGTGGAAGAGTCCATGGCTGTGTTGTGAGCACTAGGGCTTCCCAGATTTGGAGCCATGGTTGGCCTTGGAAGGACGATCATGGCGGGCTAGAGAGATTGGTCGACGAGATTGATCTCGATATTATCATGCAAGACAAGGCATGCAGAGAAATATAAGCCTGTAACCCCGGGACGACCAAGTGCTACTTCTGGCAGATTATCCTGGATCAAACCTAATAACGAGCCACTCGAACACGGGGGGGGGGGGGGGGGGGGGGGGGGGGAAAGCGTCGCCGCAAAGGTGGCATGAACAGGGAGAAGGGGGGCTGAGTGGATGTATGTACGAGTAAGGACGGGGGCGGGCTCAGATGCACCCAAGCAGTCTTCCGAGCATGCTCACACGTTGGGATCGCGGTGCCATCTCCTCACAAGCCCGTCGTTGGTTGGGTTTCATCTGCTCCGTACAGCTGAGACAGACTCGCCTCGGACATGGGCGGTGGGCCATTTCGAGGAAAGCATGGCAGTGGAAACAAAGGCAGCGCACATGGAAAGCGCTCCACCAAAGGGAACACAACACCAAAACACCCCGTAATGGTTCTCTCTCTCTCTCTCCTGGTCACGGTCTACGGCCGAGCGAGATTCTCAGCCAGCAGGGCAGGACTCACAGGCCCCTCCCCGACGAATCCCTCGAACATGGGACCGGCAGCATGGTTTAGCTAGCCCGTTGACGGCAGGATAATCAGACAATCGCCGACTGACAGATCCCGTAGCTGGGCCATATCTGCATGGATACCTTACGGTAGCTCGCGGCACTGACAAAGTTAGCAGATGAAGGCAAGGGGGGGCGATATAGCATCACCTTATGTGTGTGGGGGTTCAGGCATGGAGATGATACTAGTATTGCTAGCACTGCTGTTCCCGCAGTGGCATGGCCCAAATCCCAGACATTTCCATCTCATCTCTTGGCTATCCACCAGCCCAGAACTTGTGAGAGTAGGTCATTACTATTTGGGGAGGGCGTGGACCATGAAATGCAACTCGATTCCGGTGCACCGCTCGCCGGACCAGTTCCCCGGCCATTGACTGTCAAGCACTTCGGGTCATGTGTGCATGATTGGAGTCTCAGAGGGCCCAACGGCGAACCGTCCTGCCGGGTGAGCCGCATGGAGAACATGCTAGTATGTATGAGCCAGGGCGTGTGCTGCTGGGTACTGGGTATAGTATGCTCGTGAGTGATCCTCGTATCCTCGTAACGGCCGGCACATGGGGAACTGGAGCGCCAGAAACAGCACTGCTCCAATGCTGCTGCTACGCACGAGCTGTATAGTGTCTTGGAAGCCTCACAAATTGAGGCGCACTGACTCTCGAAGCTGCGTCGTGCGTGCTTGTACCTGAGGCACAGGAGCAAAGCGTAAACGTACACGGGCCAGGTCGCCAGATGTCCACTCACGCGTTCGGCGCCGTCGTTGGTTTCCGCCACTGTTTCGCGGCGGTAGCGATTTTGCACGCATAAGTGCATCCACGATCCACCGGCAGTTCTCCAGGTCTCAAAGGGGGGGGCGGCTCCAGTTTCTCGTGCTTGCAGCGGCGATGCCAGCACTGCTCCCCCTGTCCCATCGCGGCCAGCGCGGTGACCAGGGGGCACCGCTGCCCTGACGGCGTCGGCCGTCCGCCTCTCGACAGTGGCTATCGCCCGACATGTCCGCTGGCGACAAGCATTTCTGACCGATCCAAAGAGCCGGGCCTCGAGACTGGGCGGCTCACGTTTGTGCCGCACGTGGATCACGCGTGCGAGCTTCGGCGCTAAGCTTGCCTCGATGAAGATAGGGGACGGGACCTCATCCCTTGAACAAGAACAACCTGACAGACAGGGCATCTCGCACGGCGATCGTTATTACGGGCGACTAGCGCTAGAGATCTCCCCCAATGGTCTCGGCTGAGAGGCGAGAGTCGAATCGGGAATGGGCAGCGTTGCACGGCATTCGTTCATATCGCACAGCTGCCATGTCCTGGGCTCTGAGGACTCGATATGATTGATCCAGTCAACCGGTAACGGAGCGTTGCGATGTGATGTCTCAGGTGTCTCAGGGCGATATGAGCCTAGTGGTATTGTGTTGGCTCGGGTCGTGAGGTTGAAGTGGTGGCCACGGTACGCCGTACGAAGTCCTCCCCAGCATCCCATGCTTCTATCATAAAGAGCTTCAACTGTTTTCCTGAGATTTTGTTCCACTTTTTTTCTTTTTTAGTACCAAGTCATAATCCCTGTGATTACAGCTTCTCAGCAGGCGATTTCGATTGGTTAATTGTCTCCGTAGAGCCATATAAGTGGAGTTTGTCAAAGGTCGGCCGCAAGTCTGTCCCGACAGCTAGGAGCTCCTAAACACGCACGGACATATTTCTAACATGCATGGACAACTAAACTATATTAAGCCTAGGTCCCTTTAGCGCTAATTCTCGCTATATTAGTACCTTTAGCCTATCCTTGCGAGTTTTATAAAGGTACTGCAGATATAAAAATACATTATATAATATAAAGCAAGCTAATATTTAGTATCTTTATTAAAAATGGCCTAATATAACACTAAGGAATAATATTATATAACAACCCTATAATAACATTATTATTACACTATCTGCATCTTATTTTTATCTCCTAAATCTTTATTATTATAAAAGCCCTTAAGGATTGCATTTTTCCTATATTTAAAGACGCTTCTAGCATGTTAAAGCGCGCCTAGGCGTTAGAAGGCTTTATTATAGTTAAAAAAAATTTATTAATGCAAAAGTTAATTATTATAAGCGCATATTTTAAATACTAATATAGCAGCGCCTATTAGCAGTAAGTAAGGAATAAGAGAAAATACTAAACTTTAACCTATAAAATAGGATGCCCTTTCTCTGCTTTAATTAACTATTGCAGCTAAATCTCTTCTTATATTATAATTACTAAGGAAACACACTATAATTATATGCTAATTAAAGATAAAGCTGCATTTTCAGTTCTTTATTAAGAGTTATAATGCGAATTTAGCCTTAATTACTTACAGGAGCTTATTAAAACGTAATTGCATTATTCTAGATCTATAGTAAAAAGCATTACTACCTAAATTAGCTGTAATTATCCTTTAGTTAAGATTACAGGGGATAACATATAGTTTCTTTAAAAAAAGCTTTACTATATAAAGTACAGTCTATTTTTATTAACGCAAGCCTTCCTAAGCCTTTTATAAAATAATAATTATATCTTCTACTATAATATTTATTATAATAAAAATAATTAGCTAGACTGCCTTTTTTAGACTTATAAAAATAATATATAGGACTAGGAATAAAACCTTAAGTGGCTTTCTCTTAATAACACCTATAAGGTAAACAGATTTAATATACTGCTGTTTTAAATTATAGGCATAACAGCGCTATATATGAACTTTAGTGCTGGCTTTAGGTTATATATAAAGGAGGATACAGAGAGCTACACTTAAATGCTCACATACTTAAAAAACGCAGCTAAAAAAGCCTCTATTCTAGATCCCTATATTATTATTACTAACTTTAATATAGCTTTAAAGAAAGCCCTTAATAATATCTTTTATCTCTCTTAGCAGCAACTTTATATATAGCATATTATAAAGAATGTTATTCTTTATATAAAAAAGAACTAGATAAGAAGTTTTACTAGTAGTAAGATTATAGGCTAAGTAAAGGAAGATAAGGCGCGCTTAGTAGCAGGCCTAGCCCTTAAGGAGATTCCCTAAGATAGTGATAAAGTTAATAACTTAAATTTATAGCGCGCTGCTTATAAAGCTGTTAATAATGTAATAGAATTTACTGCCTAGATACACTAAGCAGAGGATCCTTTATTTTTAAAAGAGATCTTGCCTGCTAAAACTTAGTAAGAGTATACTCCTAATAGCATCTGCTAAGCTTAGCGTAATATCTCTTACATAAATATAAAAGAGGCATTTAACTAGCTATAGGCTAAGTTATAAAAAGAGTTCTCTGCCTAGTAATATATATTTAAAGATACCTCTTTTTATTAAGGATTTGCGCTAATTTATTTATATTTAGAGATTATTAGCTACCTTAACTAAACTTATATCCCTAAATAACTTTAATTTGCTTAATATGCTATTAAGGATCTTAGAAATTATAGCCTTATAGTAATATCTTACACTAAAAGCTTATATATATAACTTAAGGTATATTTAAGAAATTAATTTACTAACCTTTTTAAGCTTTATATAGTAATCTGGAATATATTAAAGCAGCGCTAAAAGGATTATAGCCTTAGATTTTAAAAGGAAATTAGCGCCTGCTAAGTCCAGTGGCTTAATAAACTGATTTTTAATAATATAGTGTATAAAATAGGCTAGAAGGTAATATAGCAGATTAGTAAGTAATTATTATTAGTAAAAGACAATCTATAAGGGAAAACTAAGTTAAAGAAGTGTTTAGAGACTTTTATAAAGCAGTAGGGGCTCCCTTACTGCTACTAAATTTAAATGCTATTATAAAGCGGCAAGTCTCTTTAACTAAATAATCTTAACTATTATTAGCATTTTTAAGCTATTATAGTAAGTTATGCGCTTAAAAGCAGCGTTAACACTAAAAAACGCATATTATAAGACTAATCTCAGCTTTAACAGGCTAATTAATAAGCCTTCCTTAATATAATCTGCAAGCCTAATCTAGCTGTTATACCTTCCTGTTAAAGAGTATATAACTAG